CTGCCTCTCCTTATCTGCCCTATTTAGTTCTAGCCCGTTCTGTTCTCCCTTGTCTGGAATTGTTTGTCAACTCCTTGTGCTACGTGTGATTCCCTGAAAAAAAGAATTCTACTCCTTTGTTTTGTACTCTGGTCTCCTCGTTCCGTGCTCCTCACAGTAGCAACACGTGACACACACACACACACACATATATATATATATATATATATATATATATATATATATATATCTTTATTTAGAAAACATAAAATGTAGTATTAATTTTTTCTTTTTAATTATGTAATACATGTAAAATGATAAACTATTGATTGTAGTATACTGTAATTACAGTATTATTATAACTGTACTGCTATGTAATCCACTATTATGGGACCCTAAATGTTAATAACCTATAATCTTAAATGTTTTACGATGTTGTTTTCTGACCTGGGTGTGTGTTTTCAGTCTAATGGCTCCTCTAATAGAAGAATATGACAGGCACATACAACAGATGGAGATGCAGCTCAAGTTCTATCAGGTACACATTGCTACCCAACACAAATGCTTACACAACATAAATGCTCACATTACAGTGAGGTTTTACTGCTGTCAGAGCTTGATGGGGCTGATTTCATGCTGTCAGCTTTAAATTGCAGTTTAATCCCAAGTCAAGTGAACTTGTTCTATAATAAGTTTGCCATTCAAGAGTACACTATCTCTATAACGTATACACTATCTACGCTCCTCCCACCTCTCAGTCACATGCTTGTTTCTCTCTGTCAAACACTCGGAGGCAGATGACAGATGTCAAAGCAAGCCTGGAGCAGGTGGTTAAGGAAAACGAGCGGTAAGAGCTTTCGAATGGATCTCCTGCTGATTTCTCCTTCCAGTCACTGATTTATTATCAGAGTTAGTCAGTGCTAACAGCTTCTGCAGCACAAGATGAGGTGGTTTTGGTAATCACAGCCAACCCTTTACATAAATCGACTTTGTTTGTGGAAGAAAGTTTGTGAATTTTGCTTTAATTCAGTGATTTTTCAGTTTTGTTTTTTGACACCCCAATCTAGAAAAACGTTTGCACCCCCACCATAATCTACTTGTCAGTATTCTATAATTAAAAAAAGCAAAATCACAATTTAAGCAATTTAAGAAATTAACTTTTTCACTCACCAGACAATTTGGCTAATAAATTAAATTAAATTAAGTTACCGGCCATTCAGAATGTCTACTAGCCAAAAAATAAATAAACCAAGAAATAAACCAGATTAACTATATCACAGCTTCATATAATATATTAGGGCTGTCAATAGATTAAAATTTTGAATCTAATTAATCACACCCTTTTTCTGTGATTAATCGCACACTTCATGAATTTAAGCATAGACCATTTATCTTGTTTCAAATGTTTATTTTTGTCATCATTTGCTATATCCAGCAAAGTAAACCAGAAGATTGAAATCTATATTTTCTGCAAGCTTTTTTCAAGATAAATTTAGATGTCTGTCCAAAAAAGGACTCCAAAAGAACTCCAAAAGGAAACTCCAAAAGGACACCAAAGAACCAAATGATATAAGGAGCCCATATAAGCACATATGATAGAAAAGAACATCAGAATTTTATAGTATGTGTACAGTGCAACAGCAAAGAGCTTTTTTTACATTTTAGAGAAGTCAAGTTGCGATGCTGAACAGGACCACATGGAGATGCCAAAAAAACTAAACCAACCGCCTGCTGACTGCATATATCTACTACAGTACACGGATCCATTCCGTATAACTAAACACAGCTGGGCGAAACACACTGGAATGAATAATTCACTGAAAATGCAACACGAGTCTCTATTCTCTCTGCAATCTGAAGGACACTTAGAAACTCCAAAAGGACACCAAAGAACCAAATGATATAAGGAGCCCATATAAGCAGATATGAAAGAAAAAAATAAAGCTAAAAAATTCAGAATTGTATAGTAGCCTATGTGTACAGTGCAACAGCAAAGTTGCGATATTGAACAAGACCACATGGAGATGCCAAAAACCCATAAACCAACCGCCTGTTGACTGCATTTATCTACTACAGTACACAGATCCATTCAGAAAAACTAAACACAGCAATATACACATGACAAATCAAAACATTATCGTGAATGTGTGTGGAAACAACGTGAATGTACAGAAATGTCTGTGCCTGTGCATAAATGCAATGTGCGATCAGTGCGTCAAGAGCACTCATACATGCATTATTATAACGGACTCACGCTTGCTTACTGTACGACTCCTGTACGTCACCGCAATCGTCTTTACCTTGATTGCAGTCTTCATCCATCAAAACTTTACTAGCGAGACTGGTTATCCAGTCGAGAAAACGTAGTTTGCGTCTCATCTGGCCATACAGCGGTGGGATGTGTTGACATTCCGTTCAGTCTGTACTTCACACAGTGTGAGGGCTCGTGCTCTTCAGAGACAATCACAGAATATGACAGAGCTACTGAAAACTTTCCCGGAGTTTAGCGGCTTAAAATGATCTGATTGCAAGCAGAGAAGCAAAATTGGCAAAATTTCACATTTTTTTCAAGTGAACGCTCGAAATACATTATTTAGGCAACACTTTACAATAATTAACTAACACGTTAATACACTTTAGTACTGTTACGTATCCGGTCCATGAACTTCCGTCTGCTAGCCATCAGAGGTCACCCTTTGTGAACTCTCTGCTTGTCCTGTTCCGGCCAAGGAGGCCGTCCATGAACTCTCTGCCTGTTCTGTTCCGGCCAAGGAGGCCGTCTATGAACTCTCTGCTTGTCCTGTTCCGGCCAAGGAGGCCACCTATGAACTCTCTGCCTGTTCTGTTCCGGCCAAGGAGGTCACTGATTGCACACAGCACTGATTGCACACAGCTGTTTCACTGATTACACACAGCACTGATTGCACACAGCTGTTTCATATCATTCACTCACTATTTAACACTCACTCTGATCCCTTCCCTCTGCCGAGTATTGTTTAGCGCTTATCATTTGATAGCTACACTACAGAGCCCTCGTTAGTTTACCCTGCCTTAGCCTAGTCTTGCCTTGTCTGTTTTCTCGGTTTCTGATCCTTGCCTGGTTTCCTGGAGTTATCCCCTTAGTCTCGCCCTTTTGATTCTGTTCGCCGTTCGTCGACCTTCGCTAGCCCTAGGATTATTCTTGTGTCTTTCCCGCCATATACCTGTTTGCCATTTGTTCGACCCTGCCTGTGTTTCTGACCTCTCTGCTTGAATTAAAGCTTGCACATGGATCCGCACGTCTCACGTCTTGTCAGCCCCGTAACAAGTACATTAACTAACATTAACTAATCGAACCTTATTTTAAGGTGTTAGGCTACAATTATTTGTTATTAAAGCATATATATGTTCACAAAAAACACTGTTAAATTAAACAGAAAAGCAAGCAGGTTAGCATGATTTGCGAAAATGCATTGTAAAATCATTTGATGCTTTCCAAAGCAGAAGGGCAGATACACTGGATTGTTTGCCAAATCTATTTCGTTATGCTATTATTACGAAGAAAACACATCCTAGACCAGGAGTTATGGGCAGCTTTTCCATCTAAAAGCAATCAGAAGCAACAGCAGGCAGTTGTATGAGTAAGACTATAATACACGCTAAACTCAAGTCCGACTGACCCCCTCGGTCCGAAGGAGGGCACAGGGATGTCCGTGGGGGGGCCAAGCCTGAGGGCCTATATATATATATATATATGAGACATCTGAGACACATCAATCTAAAAAATGTAGACATTACAATATATATATATTAGGGGTGACCACGAATAGTCGAAGATTCCATGCTTCGATAGGAGGATCCTGATTCGACTAACAATCTCACAGTCGAATATTCACGAGGCTGAATTCAGCTTCTTATTCGCAGCTTCTTATTGACGTTATCCGTTCCACCTTAAAAACGCGACGCTTCCGCGTTTCTTAGCTTCTTATTCACGCTCAACTTTGCGTCTCTTTTTCAGAAACGAACAATGAACTATTTTAAAATGTAAATAACACTGAGATAAGAGCGAAAACGGGCTGTCAACATTAAATCTAATTACATTATACGTTAATTATTAAACGTGCATGTCATCCTTTGGGTGCAGTAATGATTTTTTTTTTTTTATCTAGCCTCTTATGAAGACTTCACATGACCCAGCACCTGTGAATAGTGGACTCCAGATACAAAACGATGACATTTTCATTGCTTTAAAATGTGCAGAAAGTTTGCTTAAATGCATATATGGTATTTGTAAATACTATAATTTGTACTAGACTTCAACTGTTCTTTCTGATACCCACTCCTATAAAGACTATTCTGGTTTTGTAACAGAAAAACATGCATTTTCTGTAAAGCTGCTCTGAAACAATATGTGTTGTGAAATGCGTTATACAAATAAATATGAATTAAACTGAATGAGCCATTGCATTGTTGTTGTATTGCATTTAGAAGATGGACCTATAAATATGACATATGTGACTATACAGTTGAATAGGCCATTGCACTGATTGCCCAATTGGAGGCGCAAAATCTCAGCTGTCCTTGAGGGTGCGTTAAAAGTTTCATTATAGGCTTTAATGTCTGAAAAGATTCAGACATTTTTACGGTACCATTTTGAAGTTATGGACCTATAAATTTGACAAATATGACAATACAGACTTGAGCTATTGCATTCATGGCCCCATTGGGGGCGCTATATCTCAGCTGTCCTTAAGGGTGCGTAGAATGTTTCACTAGCGTCTTATTCCCAGGACACTTGACTGTCACCATGCAAATTTTCAGACATTTTTACTGTAGCATTTTGAAGTTATAGACCCATAAATTAGCTCAGCTTCCTTTGAGGGTGCGTTAAAAGTTCAACTGAGGTCATATTCCCAGTGCACTTGACTGTAACCACACACATTTTCAGACATTTGTACTGTAGCATTTTTAAGTTATGGACCCATACATTTGGCAGATATGACAATACAATAACAGGAAAAATAGCATTATTGCCCCAAATGGTGGCGCTATATCTCAGCTTCCTTTGAGGGTGCGTTAAAATTTCTACTGTGGTCTTATTTCCAAGGCACTTGACTGTAACCACGCACATTTTCAGACATTTTTACTGTAGCATTTTTAAGTTATGGACCCATAAACGTGGCTGATATGACGATACAGTAACTGGAGAACATTGCATTATTGGCCCAATTGGTGGCGCTATATCTCAGCATCCTTTGAGGGTGCGTTAAATGTTAGACTGAGGTTATATTCTAAGTGCACTTGACTGCAACCACGCACATTTTCAGACATTTTTACTGTAGCATTTTGAAGTTATGGACCCATAAGTTTGGCAGATATGACTTTACAATAGGATAAATTGCATTATTGGCCCAATTGGAGGCGTTATATCTCAGCTGCCTTTGAGGGTGCGTTAAAAGTCATACTGTGGTCTTATTCCCAAGGCATATGACTGTGACCATGCAAATGTTCAGATTTTTTAACTGTAGCATTTTTAAGTTATGGACCCATACATTTGGCAGATATGACAATACAATAACAGGAGAAATTGCATTATTGGCCCAATTGTAGGCGCCATATCTCAGCTGCCTTTGAGGATGCGTTAAACCTTACACTGGAGCCTTATTCCCAGCGCCCCTGAATGTTACCATGCAAATTTCAATTCATTTTCACTGTAGCATTTTTATGTTATGGACCCATAAACTTGGCTGATATGACAATACAGTAACTGGAGAACATTGCATTATTGGCCCAATTGGAGGCGCTATATCTCAGCTGCGTTTGAGGGTAGCTTCCTTTGAGGGTGCGTTAAAAGTTCCACTGAGGTCATATTCCCAGTGCACATGACTGTAACCACGCACGTTCACACATTTTTACTGTAGCATTTTTATGTAATGGAAACATAAACTTGGCTGATATGACAATACAGTAACTGGAGAATAACTCCCCATGCTCCAACTTCTCTCTGATGCTGTGCACGGTCAGCTGTCACCTAGGCTGCATTTACACTGGCACAAAAAATCCGATCTTTTGCTCACATCTGACACAGATCGGAATTTGTTGCACACGTGTAAACACAAAAACCCGCACGAGATCCGATTTTTTTGCATCAGATCTGAGCCACTTCCAAATGTGGATTTTAATCGGATACACATCTGATATCTGGACATCCGACCTACGTCTAAACACACAGAGGAAAAACCAAAGTGAAGTATGTTCATACTTCACTCAGTCATTTATTTACTTTATAACAGTAAATAAATATCGGTTCTGCATATCGGTTATCGGGCACATAAACATGCAAATAATTGGTATCGGTTATAAAATATCAATATCGGTCGATCACTATTTTAAAGCAATGAAAATGTCATCATTTTGTACTGGAGTCCTCAATTCACAGGTGCTGGGTCATATGAAGTCTTCATAAGAGGCTAGATAAAAATTAAAAAAAAACCTTAATTACTGCACTCAAAGGATGACATGCACGTTCAATAATTAACGTATGTTGATAGCCCGTTTTCACTCTTATCTTAGTGTTATTTACATTTTAAAATTGTTTATTGTTCGTTTCTGAAAAAGAGACACAAATAGAGACGGTCCCTACGTGAGCGTGAATAATAAGCTAAGAAACGAGGAAGCGTCGCGTTTTTAAGGTGGAACGGCTAGCGTCAATAAGAAGCTGCGAATAAGAGAAGCTGAATTCAGCCTCGTCGAATATTCGCAGAGGTGTTATGATCATGCCATTTTGGCTATATGGGGGTGCTCAATGTCTGATTTCACATACAACGCTGTGATTTTTTTTAGCGTTTAGTTGCCGTGTTTCTGCACGTTGATGCGTGAAGAACGTGTCCACAAAAGGAGTTTATTCAGAGCCGCGCAGACACGTTGATGTGCATTCGGGGCATTCTGTGCAGATAGCCTATAAGTCGTAATATTAACGTAATATTAATTAAAATATTAATATCCTTTCTCTGTTTAAACCCAGTTCGGGTGCAGCGAGATATGTCATAGCGGGAGCTTTTTCACTCAGTCGGATTGACCCAGTTGAGGGGAAGTGCCTATCGGCTTATGTCCAGCGTGGAGTGGGTCAATATTTGGCAGGACGTACGGACCCAGACTGCGCTGCTGTTTTGTCTCTACGGTTCCTGCTGTGTTTATTGCCTTCGTTGTCTTTATTAGATTTTCTTTCTTCTTTCTTTGTTTCAGTTGTTTGTTTGATGGTTTTGGAAATATTAAAGGGTTTTAGTCGTTTTCTTTTCCTAACTTTGAGTAATAGTGATCAAGACGGCTGATGTGATACACTGTCAGTGATTTGCGGGGATGATTAGTCACGTACCCTAATGGTTTGCATATATATGTAGTTTCCTTTCCTTTCTTTGTGTGATTTTTGTATATTTGTTTTTGTATTTCTTTGTCAGTGCTGAGAGTTCTCCCTTTGGGGACCTAGAGAGATACACCATTTATTCTTTGGGGTGCAGTGTGGAACACATTTGTTTTTCATTCGTGTGGTTGCAGTGGAGAGCACTAGAGTGTGAGGGATTCTGTCAGGGTGGTTTAGGATTTTCTCCTTGTAAGTGTTCTCAGCGACCCAGGTGGTGCTTAGAGTTTTTTTTGTGGTTTTGTTTGTTTCATCTATGTAAATCTTGTTGTTTTCTTCCTTTTTTTTTGTTTGTTTTGTTCTGCCCCCAGTTAGCATAATATACTTTTAATTGGTATCCTTTTTTTTGGGGTATTTAAAAGGTATCTGTATCGAACATGTCCCCCTGTGAATTGTGACTTCCTTGTTTTTAAACAGAAAATTATTTTTGATGTAATTAAAACATTGGTTTTAACTGGCAGAAACATCTCAATCATTTCTGGGTAGACCGAACCTGTATGGTTGAGTGGTTTATATCCTGGGGTGGAAGTCCCTAGGTGGCATAGTGGGCTACTATTGGTTGCGGTCTTTTCCTCGATTTATTTCTCTGCCTTACCGTCCCGCCACAATGAGTTAAATCCCATTGGTTTAAAAACCTCCTATCAGATGCTTCACTCTACTCAGCGCGCGCAGCTCAAAACAGAAATGCAGAACATTAATAACTACTGTCATATACATAACGTTAAAAAAAATTGTTATTGTAAGTAAATTAAAAAATCAAAACAAACTTAACGTCTCCCTCAAATCTCATTTGCGTAAGAATTGTCACGTGACGAATCTGCATTTTGGTGGATAATAGACTTAACGGTAATGCTTGCCTGTTGTGTGGAATAAAATGATGTTCCGCGTTTTTAACAACATACACGAACTGCAGAGAAATCTGGAGACAACTGGGTTGCGGTCTTTTCCTCGATTTATTTCTCTGCCTTACCGTCCCGCCACAATGAGTTAAATCCCATTGGTTTAAAAACCTCCTATCAGATGCTTCACTCTACTCAGCGCGCGCAGCTCAAAACAGAAATGCAGAACATTAATAACTACTGTCATATACATAACGTTAAAAAGAGAGCACTATTGAAAAATATGTTGTGAATTCTTAGGGTTTCGCTGACGTTTAAATGTTAATCTTTTAATCAAAACATAAAACATTATTTACCCCGTTTGTATCTGCGAGGCGTCCTTTACACAGTTTCCCCTGTATGTTAACGTCAGTAATTATGACTGTAGAATGTCTCTCTTGGTAATGTATTTTGCCCCACCCCCAAACATATGATTCGACTATCGGCAAGATTCGAAAATTCAGATTCGACTATGAAAAATCCTTAGTCGGGGACACCCCTAATATATATATATACAGTGGGTACGGAAAGTATTCAGACCCCCTTAAATTTTTCACTCTTTGTTATATTG